GGGGCAGTGGGCTGGGGGAGGATGTGGAGGTGATGACATTGGATATTTTGTTATCATCTATGGCCGAGTAAGAAAGCACTCCAAAACCTAACAGCCTAGAATAACTACTTGATTTGCTCATGATTCTGCAGTCAGGGCTGGGCTCAGCGCGTTGGCTGGGGTCTGTCACCTGCTGAGCTAGTGGATGGTTGAGTTTCTCCTTCTCTTTGTAAAGGTGTAAGGCCTCGACACATGGTTGCGAGCAGACTTTGTACCTGGCAGCTCAGGGCTCCCAAGATGGCAGCCAAAAGCTTAAGACAGGTCTGAGCTGGGCATGAAGGTTCATGCCTGTAATCCCAGCACTCAGGAGGCTGAAATGGGAGGATTGTGAGTTCAAGTCAAGCGTGGGCTGCGTATCAAGAATCTGCCTCAGACAGCCAGACAGCCAGAAGTCTTAGGTCTGGGCCTGCCACAAGCCCACTTCTGCATTGTCCTGCATTTAAAATACACCGTTATGGTCAAAGTCACAGTCCTAGTCCAGAGTCAGGTGAATCTTTCAGGTGTGATTGATTACCAGGCACCATGGTTTACTAGAATTGCTAGTGTAAAAAGACAACCCATTGGCTGGGAGATAAGGCAGCAGATGGGCAAGACGCTATCCTTTATTTAACTAACTACCTTCTGGGTCTTACAATCTTTTTCCAAGTACATCCAACCCGGATACCTCCTCTCTACCCCACAGTCACACTTGGAATCCTGAGGACACCAGACAATCATCATAGCTTACACCAAAGGGTGATGGTAGAATTTCAGGCAGAGGGCAAGGCTCCGAGCGGTGCAGAGAACAAGGGTTTCCCCAGTCTCAAATCCCAACAGGTCAACCATTCCATCTGCATTCCTCCCCCTCCCAGGGCCTGGGGGGGGGGGATTGCCAAGGAACTGTGTCTTTCAGAGCACTGGACCGAAAGGAAGCTGTAGAGCTGGGTGGTTTTGAACTCTCCTGGGGCAGAGGGCAGAACATCTTTTCACACAAATTCCATCTCTCCCGCTGGGGGCTGATGACCTCTGAAGAAATTCTGCCAAGAATATTTTGAACCACAGCAGGTTTCTAAATTTGGCGAAAGAATTTGTAAAATGAAGATAAATGATATCTCATGGATGTCGCACTTAATATACCATTCTAGGTGTTAGTTATTCCCCAGGGCATGAGGTGACTGGGGGCTTTCCCAGGACCCAGCTGTAAGAGGCAGTACCAGGCTTTAGGGCCTTAATCATCAGTTATGCTGCTGTAGGGAGCCCAGAATCGGTGTCCTCGCCCAATGAGGGAACATGGCTTTCTTCACCCAAGCAGGAGAGTTGATGCTTTCCTCCACTTTGGACAAGGGCCATATCTAAGAACCAATTAATTAGAAAATTGTTCCCAGGTTGACATTTCCAACCAATTTCTCTTTTTTCTGTGTCTTCTAGTATCATGTATTTAATGACATAATATTATATGTACATATGTGTATATCCAAGAAACAACTGTATGCTTATATTGCCAGTTCAGAACATTTTGACTAATGAGTACGCAACATAAAATGATAACACAGGATAAATTTCCCTCCAAGTTCAACAACCACAGTAATCCCTGTAAGTACAATCACTACTACTTAAGTAAATAAAGCCTAATAAACAAATGAGAAGAAATGCAAGGCATGTGACTTTGCTGGATGGACATTTGCTTTTACTGGAAGTTGACCTATGGACTGACACACAACTGCACAGAGCAGTTGTCCTGGTGATTTGCTACCTGGACCCAGGCAATGGTACACAGTGGGTGTTGCCACCCCCAGACATTTTCCCATTGTAGATACTGGCCATTGGTGGACTTGGTGGTCACTGTCATTGATCTTATAAACATTAGCTGCTAATGGACATTTGCTCCCTGGTGAACACCAGGCAGCAAGGAACACTGAATGTTGATGGAAAATCCACATTAGGCTACGATGACCACCAAGGCAAATGCCCCAAATGCCCTGGGTGGGCATTAGGTATGAGTGGACATTAGAACCAGTGGCCTTCTAATTCTGTAATCACACAAAGTGAGCAGGGGGTAGGCCTCTGCCTCCTACACCCCTGGCAGTGTTCTCCAGAAAACCGTCCTATGAGCTGGCTGGACAGCACTTGGATGGCAGGAGCTGCCTCCCCACCTTTCCCTCTAAAAGCCTTTTAGCCAAGGCAATTTGGGGAAGCAAGGGAGCTGTTAACCCTGACAGAGAATGGCACAGGAACACTCTAATCAGCTCTGCACTACCGAGGGACTCTTCTGTCACCCTCACCGAGCATTTGCCTCTCCTTTATGAATGGGCTCATGCAAGCCAGGCAGGGTGGCTTCAAGGACAGTAGGGCCATGCTTTGTTTCAAATTCTCTGTTCTTGCCATCTTGAAATTGTAAGTTTTTAACAAGGGACCCCGCATGTTCATTTATGCTGGTTCCACAAATTATGTAGCCAGCTCTGAAGCACAGAATCCCAGCCATCTGCTATGATACCTTGGCTCCTCTCTGGGCCTCAGTCTCCAGATCTGGATCTGTGCAAAGAGGAGGAGGGCTGAGACTGGAGCTGGTGGAGAGGCTCAAGTGGTAAGAGGGCCTGCCTAGCAAGCGTGAGGCTCTTGAGTTTAAACCCGAGTGACACCAAAATAGAGACAAGGAGGGGTAGGACGGTGGCTTTGACCTTTAGCTTTTTCTAGAATCACTTGTCTGATGGGAACTATTTAGAGCTGCCTAACTTCCCCAATTCATTTGCAACAGAAAAACACATGGACTGTTAGTGCTTTTATGTCTCAGAGCAGCCCTCCCCTTGTCCATGGGCTATGCAGTGGGCTGGGGCCTCATCTGTATGGTGACAAAAGTACTTGGTACAGTTGTGAGAAAGAAAGGGCAGTTCTGGGGCATGTTTTGTGCCAGGCACAGTACCTGGTTCTGTACAAAAGTTACTTCACTTCCTTTTCCTAAGAATGGAGACATTTTCATCACCACTTTCAAAGCTCAGAGAAGGTGACAGCTGAAATCAGACAACTGGTTTTGTGATGAACCCAGGATTTTAACCCTTTGTGTGAATTCAAAATGGAATCTTCCCAGGAACCTCTGCCACCCTGTAATTCTAATCCCTCATCCTAAATCCCAGGATTCCTAGAGGGCGGAGTGAGGCAGGATGAGCATGTCTGGCTGTGCTGGGAAACACTGGCACAAACTGCTTAATGCCCTATGCCTTGCTCAGTGGATCTGCTTGAACTTGGGGGAGTCTGGCTGCGTGTGGTCACAAGGTGGCGCTGCGGACTGGGTGCCTCAGCACTGGGACATAGGGGATGTGTGGACCCCAGGTTCCTCTAGGCCTGCTGGCTGGCAGTCCTCAAGCAGGTAGGCTAGGGTTTGGGAGGTAGGATGTCCCATCAGGAAGGACGAGTCTGCACTGTGATGGCATTTATGTCCACCCTCCCTACCCTTGTCTTCTATGTGCTGGTCGGTCTTTAAAACTCATGTTCCATGCCCCTCCCCCAAGGACACTTTTGGCATGGTTTTGGGAGGGCCGGGGCTCATCAGGTGCAAATACTGTGATCTCTTACTGACCCCTGCTTTGGAAGCCTCTGAGCATACCAAGGAATGCAGAAGGCTGGAGATCTAACTGGTCTTGCACAGCTTACTGGCAGCACTCCCTACCACCTGCAGGAACACATTTAACTATTGGGGCTGGAGTCTCATTCTGACCCCCTACCTAGCCCTTAGCACTTCCCTACACTGGCAGGTGAGTACCAGGTGGGGCTCAGGGATGCTGGGTAGTCGGGCTCCCTGGGGAGCACCGACAGGCAAGGACAAGTTCCCTGGATGGATGCCCAAGGCCAGAGTAACACTGACCTGCCACCATGACCTCGCTCAAGAGCCAGACTCCCTTGTCTTGAGCTGTGTGGGCCATCCACAGGGCTCTCACAAGCCCAGGGTTTCCGGTGTGTTCCTCCCTCTTCCCATCCCAGGAATGGGAGTCCTCCCAGGGCAGATACAAGGATGCTCATCTATCTTGTGGCCCGGCTTGTTGGTGATGGATACTCCTTAGATTCTGACCAGTTAGAAGGATGAAACTTCTGACAGCAAAGACATCCAGATTAGCTGAAATGAGCTGGAAGTGTGCAAACAGGAGGGCACCATGACAGCTGAAATGCCAAGGAGGAGGAAAGTACCAGTGCCTTTGACAGATGGGAGATGGAGACTTCGGGGAAGCTGCTAAGCAAAGACAGGTACTGGGTCTTGGGTCAACAGGCAGGGACAGAGACAGGGCAGGCTTCCACAGCAGGGGCTGGATGCCAGCAGATGGAGCTGGGGGGTGGGGCAGAGCAGGGAGACGAGGCAGGTGTACAAGAGTACAGGCTGCTGTGAAAGGTGACTCCCTCCTTCATGTGGCCTTACTCCCTCTATCCTGGGAGGTTACTGGAAAATAAGCTGCTGATTCATCCTTGCACCCTGACCGCAACCCAAATAATTGAACACAGTTGAGTGATGGAAAATAGTTGTGTTTTTTTTTTTGTGTGTGTGTGAGTATGTGGTACTGGGGTTTGAGCTCCCTTGAGCCACTCCACTAGCCCTTTTCTGTGATCGGTTTTGTTGTGATAAGGTCTTGTGAACTATTTCCCCAGGCTGGCTTTGAACTGTGATACCCCTGATCTCTGCCTCCTGAGTAGTTAGCATTACAGGCGTGAGCCACTGGTGCCTGGTGATAAGAAATCTCCGTGGTGTTTATTAAACCAAGGACTAGTCAGCATGCTGGGCTGGTGGGGAAAGTCAGAGCTCTCACTGCCTTGTGGGCAGCTCTGGGACGAGCCCCTCTTCTCCATGGCCAATGATGGCTGCCCAACATCCAACACCAAAGTGAACAAATGAAACTTTTCTTTTACAAATGACTGTTTACATCCCCTGCCAGCAGAGGTGGGGCTTCAAAGTAACTGTCCATTTAAAAAAAAAAAAAAGCCAACTCTTAAACGAAGACAAAGGAAAAACTTAGGGCAGGAAGCTGAGATGCTGGATTGGCGCACACAAGGGAGGGTACAATGGGCTCTGTTGGGTTCAGGCTCATAGGGACTGAATCCAGGAGGCTCCTTGGAGCGCCTGACCAGATGGTGTTCCATAACCACATGACTCCATGGAGGAACATCTGCAGTGACCCAGGAAAACACTTCCAGTCTTGATGTCAGGAATCCCACCAAATGAGAAACAAGCAGGCCTGAGACTAGCATGCCCCAGCTCCCGGAGGCTCTGAAGGGTGAACTGACTTTGCCTGTACCACACCCTGGTCACTAGGCTCACAGTCCATCTTAGGCCCTTATTTGTCTTGCTGCTGCTGCTGGGGATAATGGTGGAAGGGGAAAGATGACAGCAAGGGGTAGCCCAGGAAGAGGACAGGAAAGGAGGAGATGACTTAGAGAAGACAAGAAAATACAGGACTGCCTGGCAGGACCTCAGATTGGCAGGACTGCTTCTCTAGGCCTCATTATCTCACCTGCCCCACAAACAGAGAAATGTGATTTTTCCCTCCATTTCCATCTGTAATGACAACTCTACCCAGCATTCCACAAGAAAAGGATGACACAGGCCTCATGGGCCCAGAGCAAAGAAGGGGTACAGTATAAAAGAAACTCCTGCTCTAGTAACTGGCCCCAGGGACACTCAGCCCAGTGGACTTGAGTCTGCCCTCCAGTGGTGGCTACCACCCAGTCTCCCATCATGAATCAGGTTGGCCTAAGCAAGAGGGAAGGCACTTAGGGGACAAGCAGGGAAGGGTAGCAGGAAGGGACCAGAGTCTGGTTTGGCATCAAAATTCCTCTGTCCATACATATAGGGAGGTGGGCAGCAGGGACAAAGAGGCAGATTTTGTTCCCGGGGTTTGGGCTCAGGTGCAAAGGCCCTCCTAGGCCCACTGTTCTGTGGTGATGCCACCACACAGACCTGCACACTCCCCACTAGTATTGGCACATTAAAATATAAGTTAGTCAGGACCTGAGCAAGCCCAGGACAGCGGTCTGTCACGTGGCCCCAGGCCACACCCTTCGTCACAAGGTATCTGGGCCCCTGGCAGGGGATTTCCGGGTATCTCCGCAGTGCAGTACCACCTTGGGGCTGGAGCCAGGCTGCCGGGGGTAGGCACCTTCCCGCACCAGGCGCCGGCAGTGCACATCCTGGCCCACACTGGCTCTCTGCAGCCCTGGCAGATAGCGGAGCAACATCTCAGGCAGAGGTACCAGGCTGGTGCCCGACAGGTTCAGCTCCTGCAGTGAGCTCAGGCCAGAGAACACCTCAGCTCCTGCCCACTTAAGCTTGGGGTTGCCTGACAGGTCCAGGACCTGCAGGCTTGGTAGTGCTCGGAAGCCATGCGGCGCCAGCTGGGGGAGACCCTGTAGGTTGGCTAGTGACAGGTGTGTAAGGCCTGCCAGCCCTGTGAAGGCACCTGGGCCAATGGCGGCCAGAGGGTTCCCATCCAGGCTCAGGTAGCGCAGGGGCAAGTCTTGGAGATTGGGCACAGCACGGAGCCGGTTCCAGGCCAGGTTCAGGCTCTGAATGGAGGGCGCAGGCAGGCTAGCCTGTGCAGGATGGGGGAGCAGGTGGTGAATGAGGTTATGGGAGAGGTCCACGTGCAGCGTCCGGCCCTGGCTGTGTGTGGTGAAGGCAGATATTGAGACCTCCCGGAGCCGATTGTGGCTAAGGTTCACGTCACTTAAGGGGGAGCTGGTGAAGCTCTCAGCTGGCAGGGCTGGCAGGCCATTGTGGCTGAGGTCGAGGGATTCCAGGTAGCGAAGGCAGGAGAAGGTGGTGGGGGAGATGCTGGTGAGCAAGTTGTGGCTGAGATCCAGGCCAGCCAGTGTAGTATAGCCTGGGCCTGCCAACACCGACTCATTCACCGTCTCTAGCTGGTTGGAGGACAGGTCCAGATGCGCTGTGTCCAGAGGGATGGGCACGGGCACGATGTGGGGGCCCAGGCCACTGCAATCCACTCGAGTCAGACTGAAGCTGTCGAAGAGGCCGAAGGTCTCCACCTCACATTGGCACCCAGGGAAGCATGGCCGCGTTGTCTGGGCTCCATTCACGGCTGGCAGTAGCAACAGTGACAGCAGCAGGGGCCACAGCATGGTGGGGGCTGGAAAGAAAGCTACAGGTAAGGGCTGGACCTACCGGACAGCGCTTATCCCACCCCACAGACACAAGCCAATGTGGGTGGACACAGCCAAGGGTCATCCCTGGTCTCCACCTTCCTGGAATACTCTCACAATACTCCTAATTCCGAGTCCCTGTCCCTTTCTGGCTTCAGTGTCCCCATATGTATGGTAAAGGGTGTGAGGCCAGGGGGGTGGATTATAAACTGGAAGCAGTGGAACCCTGTCCTAGACAGGATCAGCACATGCAAGTGGCCTGCTCTGGCTGAACTGAGAGGGACCTAGAGTCTTCTGTGCCTGCCATAGGGTGTTAAGGAAGCCACTGGACTAGAAGGTCTCTTGGTTGCTGGAGACTCCACCAGGGAGAGGCTCACAGTGCAGGATCAGGGGCTCCATTCACCTCTGCCAAGCAGATGCACTGGGTGCTGTGCTGGCTGCCTCAGGGTGCAGTCTCATTTAACACTCACAGCCATCTCATAAGGCACAAGTTTCCATTTCCATTTTACCACGAAGGAATGAGGTCTTGGCAAGATTAAGAAACTAAATGCACAGCCACACAGCTAAGTGCCTTGACACTAGGTAGAGTACAGTCATAGGAAGAGGGCCCCTGTTGTGTCTGGCAGGGGCGAATCTACGCTCAAGCATGCAGACCAGGACTCTCTCCCTGCAATTACTGCTCCTACCTTGTCCCACCCCCTTAGCCTGTGCTGGAGGCAGCACCCTCCCCTTCAATTAGGGAGGGTGTCTAGCCTCCCAGATAGGCCTGATGGACACCCATCCCAATCCTCCCTTCACCCCTCCATCCTCTACCCCCAGCTGATGTAGCTAGCACACCTCTTTGGTCCTTCCATTAACCTTGAATAGGCTGCTGGGTTGGTCACCCCATAATACAGATGAAGAAACAGAGGCTCAGACAGGACAAGGACCTTATCCCAAACTAGCACAAAGCAGGGCAGGATTAGAACCCAGGCCTGCTCAATTCTTCTATTCGTATCTGCTGCCCCCAGCAGGTCTGGCAGAAAGGCAGGATCTAGGAGGAGCTTCCCTACAGACACGTGCTAAGATGCAATCTCGGTTTCTCCCTCTGTGCAAATGCAACAGTAACTCCCACATATGCCAAGTACCATGCCTATCCTGTCACATCTATGGTTGCTCGCACACACATTGGTCAGACTCAGGGCCTGGGCTCATACCCACTACAACTCCTGGGGCGCTGGTGCTCGGTGGTTCTAGGATGAGAACTAAAGGGTTGAGTGGAGAAAGCTCTACTTTGACAGTTTGGGGCTAGTCCTCCCTGCACAGTGGTCACTCAGCTGGGAGAAAGGAGAGAGCTCTTCATCTGGATGGCCTGCTGCACCCCTGTGAGGTCTCCCTCCCACCAGCCTTCATGAAGGGAGTAAGGGTGGGTGGGAGGGTACAGCTGGATGGCATTACTGGCCCTACATGAAACTTTAAAGTGGGTAGCCACTTGATCTGTACTCTGGCTCTGCCTGGGGCCAGGGAGAAGTGGGGCTCTTCTTCCCTGCTCCTGCACATGGGCCCCTCCTCACCCACCCCTTTCTTTTGTAGAGGCCAATTTGAGGATTAACCCCAGCCCAGGTGCATCCTGGTCCCAGCTGAGGCAGGACAGAACGTTCCAATGTCTGCACCAAAAGGAAAATATTAAGTTGCTTCAGACCTCCTTTGTTCCCTGGATGAGTTCCTCACCACAGAGTTCATTACCACCACAGCCCCCATGCCCCACTATGCTGATCTACTCATACCCACCCTTCCTGGGGTTTAAACAAACACCACAAAGGGCCTGGAGATTAGTCTCTGGTTCCCAGAGGTGATTATACAATGTGCCTATGAAACGCCAAGTGGCTTCTCATGAACTCCTGCTTATGTAACTGGCAGCACAAACATAACCCAAATGCTGTCCCCTCCAGACCTCTGCACCACAGGGCAGAAATTTCTGCTTTGCCCTCCTCACAAAAGTGCATTGACCCTCACTGACACACATTACAAATTGTGAAGAGCTGTACGTAAGGGCAGTGCAGTCTTCCCAGGGCACACCTGGAACTGAGGCAAGGGTTCTAACATGTAAGGTAAAGGGGCAGAAGCACAGGTGGGACCCACCTGGGTAATTTGGACACCAGGCCAGGTTCACCCTGCATCATGAACACATCTCCTGAGTCCCTGTTCTGCCTGGCCTAGGCGAGGGCTGGGTATCCTAGTGGGCACTGCCCACAGTGACAGCTAGAGCCAGTCCTCCTGGCCATGTCCTAGTGCGTGACACCTTATCTCATCCAGGCCTCACAAGTCACCCAAGGAGGCCAGCAGTCTCATTCCTATTTACAGTAGAGGAAATTTAAGGATCTGAAGTCACACCTGCTAACCTGTGTGACTTGACTTTGGGACTTTACAGAGGAGCTGTGAGATTTTGGAGACCCCACATGGGGCATATGTAGCACAGCCAGGACACCCATGGGTACATGGTTGGGGGGGGGCGCTATCTCTCCCTGGCTAGACGCTAGATGGTGTTCCCTCACACGGGGAACCCGAAGACCCCTCCCTTCACCACATCCCAGGACAGAAACAGGGAGGCATGAGGGCCACTGTGCACCAACAGCTCCAGGTGTTAGCTCTTGCTCTGCTCCCATCATGGGTCTAGCCCCATTCTCCCTATGAACCTCAGTAAGGGCTTTCATCCAACTCCAAAATTTCAGGACTTGGAACATTCACAGCAGTATTTCCTAAATCTCTGCTAAGTCCAAAGCAGTGTAACAGGCCATATTGGAGAGGATGTGAGTGTGTGGCAGGGAAGGGGGCCTTGGGGATACCAGAGCCCTTGACCTCCTGGGGCTTATAGACCAGCAATGGGAACAGAGACCCACTCACAGCAAGATCGCCAATACCAGCTGTGGGCCCAGGAGACTTGGATCTGTGTGACCTCCGCAGTTTTCATTTCTTTGAGCCTTAGTTTTCTCACCCGTGAAACTACTAATATTGCCTCCCCTGGGACCTGTGCTCTACCCTCAGAAGAAAGGGAAAAGGCACCAGGGAAGGCTAGGTGAGAAGAGGGATCGCTGGGCCCAGCTTCATCCCTTTCTCCAAGTCCCAACCTGTAGATAAAAGACATCTACTTGTCAGCCAGATTCTAGAACACAAAGTCTTAGAAACTGCCCCCATCCCTGGTTTGGAAGACACGAGGTTCTCCAGGGAGGCCATTGTTGGCCCCATGGGGTGAAGTCCACAGTGACTCTGAGGAAAAGCACAGCCATCACAGCTCCAGGGAGTTCTCTCCACATATCACCAGGCCCTGCTATGAAACGCCTCTCTAAAACAGTTTTCACTCCCCTCTCTGCTCAGGTTATACCTACAGAGATCAAATTTTCCCAGGCACAGTTACCGAGACCTTCCTCCCTCCCCTCCTTAAGCCCTTCCCTCAAGGAGAGATTTGAACTCTCCTTGGTAGTTAAGTGTGCCAACAGCTGTGACAGACTCTGAACACCTATTGGCCTTGGCTCACACCTCTCTGAACTCAGGAGAATTCCCCGGCTTGGGAGCTGGCAACCCCTGGGAGATCATGAGTGACTGAGGTCCAGAGAGGGGCAGTGATACCAAGGCCATGGCAGAGCAAGACCCAGGAGCTAGGACCAGACACCACACTGCTGCACCGCACACATCCACAGGTCTGTCGCAGCCCCACCACAGAACAAAGCCCGCTCTGTCCACCCAGGCCACCCCTCCCTCCTAGCCTCTCACACCTCAGGCTCTATCACTAGGCCTCCTTCAGAGGTGACTGAGAAAAATTCTCTGCCATTTTAGACATAGTGTGAGTAGCCTGGGGCAGCCACGTCTTCTTCATCTGTGTATCCCTTTCCTCACTTGGGGCCAGAGCTAGGCCCAGCCTGACATACTGCAAGAGAGAACTGATGAACAAAGAGTCTGGCAAAGAGGCCATGAGGGTTGGCTGCTGGGCTCAGGGGCTGGGTGGGAACCCAGCTCTACCTATTGGTCTCACCAAGTTCAACCTAGCTGAGTCTCAACGTCCTCAAAAGGGATTAGCACAGAGTTGTGGAAAGGATCGAACATGAAGCATTCTGCTCAGTGCCTGGTGGGCAACGAAGGAGATGATCGTTAAGCTCCTTGAAAGCAATAACCGTTACTCTTCGTGTCCCTTCCTATCCAGGCTCCCAATGCGATGCCAGGAGCCCCGTAGGTCTACAGCTGCTAGTGTCTGTTGGTAAGGCCCCAACCCCCCTCCTCCTCTGCAGACACCTTTCTAGGATTAAGGGTTTCACCCTGAGCCTTCCTGGCCCCAGCTGTCTATCTCTGGAGTACGATAGCATCTTTGGCCCACAGAATTTTCCAGCTGCCCGATTTCAACAGGGAGCCCTGGCACAGGAACTGAGTGGGCAGGGGGGCTGAGTCGCATTTGGCCTAGGACCCAGCAGCACCCACCTGAGAAAGGCTTTTGCCTTGTTCAGCTGCAGCTCAACTGTGGGCAGCCTCCTACCCTACCCTGTTTAGTCACAAGTGAGCTGACGCCAATGAAATCCCCAGGTGGACATTTCATAAGCGTCCTGCCCTCTGACCACTTAGTCAGCTCTGAAAATGCAAGTCTGAAAGAATTTCAGGGCCAAACCCAGAGCCTTAAGGGACAGCTCCCCCTACAGAAACACTAATGCTGCACATCTGCACAAGCACGCCAGCCCACCATGCACACACGTCACCACCGTGCAATTTCTGCTTCACCAGTCTTTGATCATGGAGATTACGGCCCCTGTTATTCAGGGCTTTTTGTGTCACTCTGCCTCAACTTACAAATGGGCTTGTGTGGACAACAGCTTAAAGCTAAAGGTACTGGGCTGTAATTAAATGTTCCCCTATCTGTCCTCCTGTAGGCAGGGAGGGAGTTAGATTCATTTTTATATTCGCGAAGCTGAGCCCTGAACCCTGAACAGAGCAAGTGCTATACACAGACACATTAGGCATACAGAATATGACTGTCCCCAGACAACACCCCAGCTTTTCCCATACTCCCTCAACTATTATCTGCTCAGTCACTCTGTAAGACAAGCAGGTTTGATGGTACTGCACTTATCATATAGCTGATTAAAGAGACCCAGAGAGGTTCAGTGACTCATTCAGAATTACACAGCCACTGAGGCCAGGGCCAGGACTAGGAGCCAAGTATTCTGAACCTAGCACCTGGCCTCTTCTATGATACCATCCTGGTACAGATGGGGCCTGGCAGCCCAGCTCCCTCATCCAAGGAAGATCATCTCCAGGGAGATGGGCAAGGCTCCCAATGCTATTTTCTCCTTCCGATGCATCTTCTTCTGGGAAACTGTCAAGTGCCTGTTCATCTGAGATAGCACCCGAAGCCGGTACGTGAAGACAAAGTATGGGGCAGAGGAAAGGGAACGGGCTCCAGCCCTACAGGGTCATGCCTGCCACAAGGATTGTGTTGCCTTCACTCACAAGTCTGAGTATTCGCCTGTAATGTGGTGGGAAGCTTTAGTACTGCCCCCAGTGGGTGGTTGAAGACTACCCAGGGAAGTAAGGACTCAGCCTGCCCGGCTCACTGCATGTTGATTCCTGCCCTGGTGGGTGACTGCAGAGACCAGGAAAAAGAATGCTAAGGCAAGGCAGGGGCAGAGGATGGAAAACCAGCCATCCCCCAAGACCTCTCAAGACACCATCCAAGGCTCTGACCAATTCCAAACTCAGGGAACTTTGGCCTCTATGTCCATCTAAGCGGGAGCTTAGATGGACATAGAGGCCAAAAGCACGATGAAGCAGTTGTGCTGCCTGTGACAAAATGAGAATTTGGTGTCAAATCGTCAGCCACCTGGACAGGTGGGTCACTGTCTTCCTTCTTCCTCATTCCCATGCCCAGGTTAGGCTCAGGAAGCCTGCTGCAGCAGCCTCTCACTGGTTCTATTCTGCAACTGCCATCATGCTAGGTACCAGAGTGCATCTCCCAATACAAGACCAGGACCAGGCCTTGTTTAAAACCTGTTCCAAAAAGAGTTTCCCAAGCTACCGGCCTGCCACTCCCCTAGACCCCTACCTTCGTACAGGCTGTTCCTTCCCCCAAAGAGATCTTTCTTTTGTCTACCACAAACTCTCATTTGTTTGATTCAAGAGCTATCTCCTCTGCCAGGCCTTCCCAATCTAACCTGCCCCTCATCCAAAGGGTTACCTGGGTTGCCCCATTACAAATCTGTCTGGCTCTTCTCCTGCATGGGGCCTGGCTATGTGCAGGGAGGTAAACCAGATAAATGGAATGTCAGGGATTGAAAGGCTCCTTCTGCTTGGGGCTACTTGCAGAATACTTAGGGCTTCGTAAAGTAGGTTTAGGACCAGGATAGATTCTGTTTCTGCCTTCTGCAAATGTCTGCACAGTGTAACACATACTACAAACTACTTTTCATATTATTAGCACATGTAATTCATTAGTTTAACATTAGCAACAGAGCAGTGCAACAGGAATTAGTATCCCAATCTGAAGGAAAAGGATAAGAAATCAAACAGGTGAAGTAACTTGTCCCAGGCCACAGAGCTAGGAAGCAGCAGAGCGGGAAACCCCTCGACCTTCTGATTCTAAGAGGCTGGAGTAGTTAGCCTCAAGATTGGTCTCCCAGCCTCCAGCACCACTCATGAGCCAGAGGAAGGTTTCTAAGAATTACCACCCTGCTGTGCTTGTTAGACCCTCCATCAGCTCTCCTCTGCCTACAGGCTAACATCTCAGCTGGTAGTGAACCTTGGTGTTTTGTCCCCTGCCTTTCCTCCCAGCCTCCAGTTAACTTCAATTCCAGACCCCAAGACCTGGCAATCTGATAGTCCACAAAGCTGACAACTTCTGCGTTTCCAGAACACATGGAGTTCTCCTGTGAGAGGCCTTTCTTGCTTCCCCTGGGAAATCCTGAGGAGGGTCACCTGCTCCCTTAGGCCCCTCTCCTGGGGTGACTTGCATGAAACCTATCTTAGAACTTGCTTTGGAAGGAGTCTTCCAGAGTGGGCCAGCCCTCCCCAGGAAGAATCCTCAGTGCCCAGTACAATCTTTCCCTGAAAAAGGATGGATGCATCCCTATGCTTTGAACTAGAACTTATGATCAAGAAAATTGAGGGGGTGAAACTCGTTCAAAGTACAAGGCATTTGCCTTTATAGTGGTGGTGCAGAAGGGTGGGTGGAAGCCCTGGACTCAGGCATCCCTAGCTTTCCCTTCCTGGGAGCAAATTAGTGCCTAGGAATTGGTCACATCAGAATGGAGGTGTATGTTACACATCAGTGTCTTCAGGCTCTGAGATCTTGATCTGGAGAACCCCACGGAGGAGAGAGGCTGTCCACATCCCCTTCCCGAAGGGAAGGAAGGTCCTGAGACAGAAAGGAAAGTGCCCACCGAAGCCTTCCAGGTGAGTGACCTCCCTCTTGTAGGCATCATTGGGCAAAGTACTTGGTTAAAGACTGGGGTGACAGAGGGAAGAAAGCGTTAGCTTTGCCACCCAGTATCAAAAGCCTCGCAGGACCGAGTCTTCCCTCTTCGGTCAGTCCCTGTGTTCTGCAAGTCTAGACTTAACCAAAGGGCACAGAGCACAGCGAGGAAAGATCAGCGAATCGAAGTTTGAGTCGCCTCCTCCCGGCGCGGCCAAGTGTGGGCGGGCGCTGCTCTCAATTCGGCTTCTGCAGTTCTGGTAATCCAGACCACACTCAGGGAAGTATCACCCCATCCATACAGGGTGACCACAACAAAGGGAGGCTGGGCAACACGCTCGGTGCCTAACAGTGCGTCACAGACCGTCCCATCCGACAGTAGTATGTTCAAGGTCCCCACTTTCCGCAGCCCAGTTAGGGGTCCTGCGAACAGAACCGGCGCGGGGAGCAGGCCCGGATCCTCACCTACCGGATCGCAGGGTTGGTCCCTCACTCTAGGGACTAGCTGGAAATGCACCGTGGATCTCAAAGCGGAGCGGTCTCTCGGCCAAGCAAACAGGTCTAGCCTGGTTACACACTCTCGGAGATGTGCGGAGGGGGATCACGCCAGCCTCCCGGGTCTCCAGCCCCAGGCTAGAGCACAGGACCAGTCGCGTCCCTCCCTCCTCCCAGCGGGGTCCTGTGCGAGTGTCCGGCACGCTCCGCCCAGTCCTGGCCCGGGCCAGTCCCCAGGCACTGCCGATCCCCCAACCCACCAATCCCATCCCATCCCTTCGCTCCCTAACGACCTCAGGAGGTGAAAGAGGGGAGGGCTGCCGACGCCCCCCGCCCCGCCCAGCCGGGAGGACTCAGGCTGTTGCTGAAGGAGCCCGGAGAAAAGTTTGAAGCCAAGTCGGGGGGCGGGTGGACAGCGGGGAAGCTGAGTCGGGGCGGCGTCTGGTTCTGGGCGCGCGCACTCCACCGACACCCAACCCAGACACGTCGACAGGCACAGACCACGTACGCGGACACACACGATGCGCCCACCGGGACCACCACCAAACGCAAGCTCACGAAACGTGGACGCGGCTCTAAACAGCCATGCAACGCCACCGACACACAAAGGCACGGGGATGCACGTCCCCGAACCCAAACCCACAAAGACCCGCAACCGCGAGGTGCACGTGTCCTCACAAAGACCCCCAAGCGCCGGCCCCCGGCCACAGCCTTTGTCTCCCGGAAGCCCCTCTGCCCTGGGTTAGGGCTCCCCACTCCGACTCAGCCCCAGGCATCTGGCGGCAGCTGCGGTCGCTCGGGGTCCAGGAAAAGTTGAGGGGCCTCGGACGGACCCAGCCCCGCCCCTGCGCCGCCCGCCCACCCGCCAGCCGGATGGGGCGGCGTGGCTGGGGACTTCCGCGGCTTCCCGGGACTCGCACCCACCTTGAATGATCCACAGCTGCCGCCTTGGCACACTCACCTCGGCAGCCCAGCACTGGCCCTCGGGCCGGCGCTTTTCTCCGCGCGCCGCGGCCCGCCCCCCGGTCCCCGCCCGTCGCCCCGCTCTCCAGCCCGGCACCCAGTGGCGGCTCCCGCAGGCGGCTCCGCGGCTCAGGGAGTGTCGCCCAAGTGCCGGCCTGGCCGCGTGCGCTCTCGGCTCCGCCCCCGCCCGCCCGCCCGCGGAGCCCGGGTTCCACCCTAGGGAGCGTCTCAAAAGTGCGCAGCTCCCGCCCACTCCAGCCCGCCTAGTTCCCAGCTTCCAGCATCCCTATCTCTGTTCCCCTCTCTTGCGAGTCTCAGCAGATGGCCGCACGTTCGGGAACATCTGGAGGTCGCTGGAGAGAGAGAGAGAGAGAGAGAGAGAGAGAGACGGAGTGAGAGAGGAAGGGAGAGGGGGAGAGGGAAAGGGGAGAGAGAGAGAGAGAGAGAGAGAAGAGAGAGAGAGAGAGAGAGAGAGAGAGAGAGAGAGAGAGAGAGAGAGAGAGAGAGAATGAATCTGAAGCAAAGAAAGGAAAAGAAAGATGAACCCACAGAGAGGAAAGCCCACAGAGGGGAGAGCCTGGTTTAGGCAGAAGCCTAAAGTCCAACAGACTTAGCTTTTTTCTTTTTCTGAAGGGAACCATCCACTCCTGGCTGCATTTCTGAGAAGGGAACCTGCTGTGTGATTGATTAGGTAGCAGTTTAAGTTTATCTCACAACCCATCCCCTAAAACTCTTCTTTATGCTAAGGAGGGAAGGAAAGTATAGAAAAAAACTTTTAAACATAGGACTTGCGGAGAGAAATTACCTGACGGATGCTTTCCCTAGGAGGGACAGCTGGGGGACGGGGCAGGCGGGGGTGAAGAGGGGTGAGACTTCCAGGCTGCGCCCCAGAAGATTCCTACCTCCCAAGAGGGGCGGTTCTCAGGCCCTACAGAGACCCGGTGAGGGATGGAGGAGGGCTCTGGTCTTGGCCCTGGAGCTCTGGGGAACTTCTCCACTTTGGAGAAGGCCCCTGGGTGGAGAGATTGGGCAATGTTTCCGCTGCAGTGGCCCGGACTTGTTACACCCAGTGTTTTTGCTACTTCTTTCCTTATTACTTAAAAACAAAATCAAAACAAAACAAAACAAAATGTTGCTTGGGCTTGTGTCTGTGTCTCTGCCTGGGGAAAAAGGGAGGTCTCAGGGAAGGAAAGTCAAACCTGGTGAGAACGAGGAGGTCTTGCAGGTCCTTCCCCCACACCCTGAAGTCTTGTGATGGTGGAGACTCACCTGCGCTGAGGTCGGTGGACCCTGCCAGTTAGGGAGGTGCAGGGAGAAGGCTGGGAGCCTGGTCTTACCCACACGGGAGCAGGGAGCTCCCCTCTGTCCTCTCTGCCCCTCACCCTCCCCAGTTAGAATCCAGCCTTGGGAACGGGGAAGCTTTCGAGACCATCCCGCTGAGTCCCTGGTAGTACTTTTGTGGCCAGAATCCGTCTCACAGTCAGGCTTAATAGTAGGGCTGCTGGAACTTAACTCTGCATCCCCGGAGCCTTGGGGAAGGAGTCTGAACCCTGTTCTCCTCTCCCCTCACGAACTTTCCCTTCCTGGATGGGAGAAAGACCTGGAATTGTCTGCGGAGGGCCGAGCTTGGACAGTATCCTGTTCCAGCCCCACACTACCTAACCTCTGAGACTCAGTTTATGGAGGCAACTCAGGTAAAACATTGGTCTGACTCCCAGGAAGCCCCACTGTGTAGTTATAATGATTAAAATACCTCCTTCAGAGATTTGGTGCAGGCTGGAAATTCTGTAGGCTTAGGAGGAATCAGAGGAATGCTGGCCTGACTTTGGGCTGGTCCAGCCTGTGTCCTGCTGCAGCCTCTGCTCCGGTGGGGAGGTTCTTTTGTGGGACTTCCATCTTCCCTTTCCCAGATAAGGTGGTGTGGAGTGAGAAGCGTTCAGCCTCACAGGAACTCAGGCTCACTGCCACTGCCCTTTGTGTTTAGAGTTTAGCCTGCTGAGCTGGAGGCTCCAGGCACCTCCTTAGGGCCTCTCACTTAACAGATGTGACAAATAACCCTTCACACCTTGCTGGTAGCCCACAGCAATTTATGAGTTTCCACGTCCACCACTTCCCTTGATCTTCTCTACCTGGGAGGTATAGCCTGTGGGGCCTTTGCCGGAGGAATCTCCAGCCTACCCACTTCCCCTGTGCCTCCTCCTCTTAACCCCCTGCTCCTGTTTGTAATCCTTGCTGCAGCAAGGGCAGCCGATCTAAACTGCAAATCTGCAAAACGGATCATGCTCTTGGCTGCTTAAAACCTTCGGAGAAGGGCTGAGGGCCGAACTCCAGGCTCTGGGTTCAATCCCCAGCACCACACACACAAGAAGCCTTTCGATGTCATTGGTGTACTTAAGGCCAGTGTGACCAGCCCCTCTCTCCTCTACCTCTGGCCTCCCCTCTTCTATATCCCAAGCTTAGTTGCATGCAAATAGGGGCAGGGAGGGTAGCACCCCAACATTCTTCAAGTAGCTGTCCAATGTCTCCTTCCTCCAAGGACCCTCTGGCCTTCTATGATGCTTCCTCGAGCATTTTGTAGCCGTGCACTTTCATTTCACTGTTTTCTTTACCCTTCTTATGGTCATGCCAAGGACTGCGCTGCTTTGAGAGGGAGGGGTTTGAGACAGGGTCTCCTATGTGGCCCAGGCTGGATTTGCATTCGTGATTCTCCTGTCTTCGCCTCCTGAGTGCTGGGATTACAGAAATGTACCGCTAAACCCAGCTATGTGCTTGGCATTCTTAAAAACACTATATCACTTAATCCCAGCAGTGACCACCCTGGATCTGTGGTGGAAAGGCCCTGAAAGGGCAAGAAATATGTTGGGGGTTGGACCGCATGTTCTCTGCAGAACTAGAACGGATTCAATGCGCTCGTGCTTATGCCTCTAACTTGTAATTTCCGCAAGGAGCAGCGCGTGGTGTAGTAGAACGGCCAGGCAACCTGAGGGTCCTGTTAAGTAGCACTTAACCATGAGTGATGGGGAGATGCAAAGGGGACCTGAGATAGAGAGGCTTCTTCAAGGTCTCTGAGAGGAAGAGAAAAAAAAGCACTGCAGTAAAACTTTCTAACTTTTGTTTGTTTGTACTGAGGATTGAACTCATGGCCTCATGCTTGCGAAGCATGGGCTCTTCCACTGGAGCCACTCTGCCAGCCCTTTTTTTGGTTAAGTATTTGAGATAGGGTCTCAAACTATTCACCTGGACTGGTTTGGAGCAGCAATCCTCCTGGGTAGTAGGGTTCACAGTCGTGAGTCACCAGCACCCCTGCAAACTTTCCAACTCTTAACTGTCTCTGTTAAGATCAAAGTAGCCCACCAAACATCACAGGGTGCTTTTATATTGGCCACTCACCTAAACCTTCATCCTGTCTTTACTCAAGAATAAAGAACACCCCAGGAATCAGAAGGACCTGGGGCTATGAATTTCACACAAGTAATCTCTCTAATTTAGCAAGACAAAGACCCAGGCCCAGGAGCCCATCCTAGGGATCAGATGGACCTGGGGCTGCAAATTCCTCATTGAATATTCCAGGTCCAAATGCTGATACTGTCATTCTCACTCTAGAAACAGCTTTCAGTCTCTCCTAATAATAAACATTGCTATTATTTTCACATCTTGCTAAATTCTTCTGTTGCCTGACGCAAGGCCCCACTCAGGTAGATACCTACGCTGACTTTCTGGTAACAGTCCTAGGTGTCACTCTGTCTCTGGCTAACTGTGGACCTTGGGCAAGTCACTTCTTCCCCAGAGCCTCAGTCTCCTTACCTGTAAAATGGAGCTACATAAGAACCTGCACCCCACAGGCACTTTGGGACGATCAAATGGATTAATGAAGATGCAAGCTTGTCGTGAGCTGTGGGTGCTGTGTGTTTTTATCTGATGTACCTTCCCAGACTGTCATGGGTTGAGAATCTCTCTCCATTGGAGGCCGAAAGGCATCACTGGTTCCTTCGGCTGCTTTGCTCATTTCCCATTTTGAGAAAGATCTTTTTTTGCTTTCATTACAGCTGTCAAGCACTTACCAGAAAACCCTCCAAACTCAATGCATCCCACGGGCCTCAGAGTTCTATTCTTCTTGCTGCATTTTCTTTCCGAACTGGCAGTAAAGCATCAGGGACCACAGGAGGAAAGAGTAGAAAAAAGAGGTGGAAGAAAAGGAATGTGTCTCCTACCCCCTTCGGATTCTGTTGATCTTGGTTCATTTTTTGTTGTTGCTGTTTTTTTTTAAGCATCTCTGGTGATTCTAATGTCAGTATGGGGACTGAGGAACATGGCAGTCTTTCCACAAGTCCTCATTCTTAAACCTGTGAGCAAACTTGTTAGGCAGTTTCTTATTACCCCATTTTATAGATGTGGAAACTGAGACCTGGAAGTGACTCATCCATGATCATACAGCTGGAGCTCAAAACTGGCTCAGAGACGTAACTCCACGCAGCCCACTGCAGGGCAGAATTCCTTGCTGGTGTTGCTAGTGTCTCAGCAGTCACTGAGACTGCTTTCCTCCTGCCATATCAAATGTGTTCCTAAGTATTTCTCTTCTACCCTCCTCTCACCCCATGCTTTTCCCCTAGCCCAGAAAGCTTTTCTCAGCCCAGTCTACCCCCTGTAGCCCTTGCTGTCTTCCAAACTCTGCCACCTCCTTCACAAAGACATTTCCTTTTCCCACAGTTTTTCTTCCATTGAGCCTGGAAGCACTGGTTTGTGTCTCAGTCCAGCCTGCTCTCCAACCCTGCTTCTGCTCCACTTGGTGCCCATGTTCTCAGCTGTTCCCTACAGAGTCTACAGCTCCAGATATTTGCTCCTCCGTGCCTCATACAAAAGACCCCCTTGACTTACCCATCTGTCACTTCTTCATACTTTAACTCAGGCATCACCTTCTTTTGGCCTCCCTTTTTTCTACCTTAGACAGCCCTTCCTCTGGGTCTCCATGGGGTACCAAAGATTCTTCTATTATGGGCAAGGTTGTTCATTCATTCATTCATTATGTCAAGATGCAGACTGTGGAGCCAAACCCCTCAGGTTT